AGCCTATTACTAAAGAATAAAATCAGTAACGCATGTGCAAGTTATACTTTCTTTGAAATGTGTATTAACTTTTTATTTATTTCCACTTTTTTTTTTTTGATTTGGTTTTTTTCCAGTACTGGGAATTGAACTGACGATCTCGCACTTGCCAGGCAGGCACTGTGCCGCTGAGCTAAATCCCCAGCCCCTATTTTTACTTTTTAAGTTTATATTCCTTTGCTAATTTTGGCCTAAATGATAGGGGTAATCATTTGTCTGATACATATGAATATAACTCATTTGATTTGTTTATTCTATTAAGACAAACTGTTATTAAAGGGGTGATATAAATCATGTAAAGAGATCTCATTGGTTGTGTAATACTTAGTTCGAATTCCAGCCCATGACTGAAGAATCACTGTAATCATATTTTAAAGAATATTCAGTCTTTTTTGCTCCAAGTTATGAAGTCCAGGAACTACCTAACATTCATTTCATTTTACTTCTGATGGCAAAGAACAGGGAAAGTAAGAAGTTGGAAAAAGTGTTGACTTAAAAATGAAGAGAACACATTGTATTTTGCTGCTAAGTATCACAAATTAGAAGGCACCTTCTTAAATTTTATTTTTATTTTGTTTCTTTTTTGTTTGTTTGTTTGTTTTTTCTGGTGCCAGGAATCAAACTCATGACCTTGTGCTTGCCAGGCAAGCGCTGTGCCGTTGAGCTAAATCCCCAGCCCCATTTTCTTTTCTTTCTTGATTAATTAAAAAATATGCATTAGGTAAATTTTAGTATCTGATCACAAAGAGGATGTATATGCTTTCTTGCATGGAATTTTATTACAATTCAGAACCTTCCAAATTGTTACACCTCCCACAATGCTAAATAAAACATAGTTACACAGTAAATATTATGTTGAGTCCAAACATAAATGTCACTTTGCCATATGCAGATGGTATTTTAACTCCAAAATATATTTCTGTGTAGTAATATTCATGGTAAAAATTGCTTGAATATCATCACACAGTAATACATTTGGGTAGTAGTCTTATATCTAGCAATAAATACAAACACATGCATGAGAAATCTATCATGTGTCATTTATAGGGAAAATGCATTAAACTGTGAATATTTTTGAAAAAAATACAGATTCATTAAAGGGCTGTCAATATTTATTTACTTCTGGAATGCTAGGGGACATTCTTGGTGACTTATAAACAAAATTTTAGATTTTAGATTTTAGAGAGAATATCAAAATAAAATTTTACCTTTATTTTATGAACCAGTGTCATTGTTCTAGGTTTATTTGTTTATTTTAACAGGAAATCTTGTAATGCATTAGCTCATCCATATCTGTTCCTATACTTGATGTTATTGTGTAATAGAAAATTTGGAAGACTAGAAATACTTTTATAAACAAGGAAACAGTAATTATTCCTCCATAATCACCATGAAACTTTATTGCCATGCATTTTTTATATTTCAAATATTCCCTATTTGCATGACAGGCCATAATGTCTTCCAGCACATTTCAATCTATGGCATATAACAGCATCTCTGCTCCTCAAAGCCTCTTCTTCACTTAGTCTCTGTTTTAACTACTGTTAAAAAGAGACTAAACAAAATTAATTGGCACTATAATCCTGCAATAAGGAAATTGTAGGCAGTACAATATTTCTATGCTACTGAAATCATCTCATTATTCAAAGGAATTCATGTTTAATATCTCAGATATATTCTTCCTTCCATTAAGGAGAAAGTCATAATCAAACCAGTGTTTCTCAAATTTTAGTCTACACATAAATCACCCAGGGATAGTGGTAGAATGCAGATCTTGATATAATAAATCTAAGGCCAGAAGCCCAAGATTCCACATTTTTCACAATCCCAATAGCTAATAGCTTGAGTGCTGATCCTTTGACCTTGCTATGACTAACATCCCTTCTATGTGTTACCTATAGCTACGTGGAAAAAGCTGATAACAATATGAACATGTATGCACACATGCATTGACTGCATGCACATGCACATGCACACGCACACATACACTTGACCGCTACTATGAGCATTTTCTACCTTCTAGTCTCAAAATCAATTGTAACAATCAGTGGATTTACTAAACAAAACAGAAGCAATGCTTTACCAAAGAAAGTCTGCCAGGTAACGCGAGGTAATTTTACTCTGAGGTGAGCTGGGTTACATGAGATATAAACATATAAATTTGAAATCTCACAATACTCATAGAATGTTGGGGACCAGTGACCGCATTTGAGCTTTGACTTTTTCATCTGGATCAAGAATTTATATTAGTTCCATTGTCAAGGCAGCAACTGAGTATAGACACCCCCTGATGCAGTCTTCCTCTTCCTCTTCATCTTCCTGTTGTTTTTCAAAATCATGAAGTTAGAGGATCATCAGAGCAGACAGCAGGAAAGCACTTCTGTTCATTGAGGCAATACAGAATGTTCTCCATACGTAGCTGCCTTCATCCCCAGAGCGTGTTCTAAGACTCCCAGTGGATGTCTGAAAATACCCAGGGTAGAACTCTGCATTGTTTTTGTACATACATATGTATGATAAAGTTTATTTTAGAAATTAAACACAATAAGATTAACAACAAATAATAAAATAGAAAAAATTAAAATAATAGAGTGTGGATGTGGTCTCTTCCTGTCTTAAACTACTATACTGTACTCACCTTTGTTCTTGTGATATGAGAAGAAGCAGTAACAACACTATGAGATGAATGTGTGCCATAGGTATTATGATTTCAGCCTACGATTTCTGTTCTTTCCTTAGTAAGTCTAGGCTTTTCACCTAAAAGAACACACAATGCCTACTCTTTGGCATATCTGAAATGCCAGCACCATTACTGTTTTTGAGTGAAATATCAGTTAATTGAACACAAGTACTTCATATGGCAACAGTTAGTCTGATAGTGAAGACGGCTATGAAGTGCCTAATGGTCAGGCAGCAGGTAGAGCTTGGGTATTCTGGACAAAAAGATGATTCTTGTTCCAGCCAGCATTGGGTGGGATTGTCCAAGATTTCATCAAATGAATCAGAATGGCACAAAGTTTATAAATTGTCTATTTGTGCAATTTGCCACTTAATATTTTGAAGTCAGAATTGTCCATGGTAACTGAAAGGGTAAAGAGAGAGGCTGTAGATAAGAGTAGACTACTGAATAGAGCTATACACTCAGAACAAGGCAAGAATGACATTTTGTTTTTCATTTTTCTTGGTCAGTGGTAATTCCTATCTCTGAGTCACTTCCTGTAATACCAATGAGCAGAGTTCTGCAATTAAAAGAAGAGTAAGCTAAAGGGATTGGCAAACTATTGTCCTTTAGAATCAGGTGATTTTCAAATATTTATTTGAAGATACCTATTTGAGCATGCTTGCACGTAGATACTTATTTGTAGATATCTGTTTGACTATAATCCTTTTTTACTATTGGTTTTGGAGACAATTAGAATTCCATAATAATATTTAGTTTTATCCAGGTGAACTAATACTAGCTAGGGGTAGGAATGGGAAGAAATGTGTAGTGGTAAAGCTATTACTCATTAAGAAAACAATTTTTCATAGTAATTACAAAATTGCACTGATATGAAACAATAAACTTTTCTGTAGCTCACATATTTGTGATGTGGCCTTGACTGATATTACCTGGTGCTGTATGTGTTTCTGTGGGCAGTTGCAGATTAGTTCAGTTCGTATCCCTGTTGACTTTGGCTTCTCACTCACCTGTCTGTGACCTTACTGTCCACTGGAGAGTCTAGCAGAGGCTTGGCTGGAAACTTAGGATAGGCTCATCTCCATTTTCAACTCATCCTCCAGCAGGTTAGTTTGGGGATATTTGCATAGATGTACAGAGGATCTAGTGCCAATGCTTAAACCCATTTCAACTTTCTACTTCACTTACTAACATCTCATTGGCCAGAGGAGTTCGTTTGGGATCAAACTGAGTCAGAGGGAGCTGGCTCCACAAAATTTGGGTTAAGGAATGACAGTCATAACTACAAGTGACTTTTAGTTGCACGCATGTCCGGAGATGGTGAGGGATAGAGGAAATTCATGTTGATGTTCAGACAGTAAATTTACAAAATAATATTTGATTTATTTAAACAAATCAGTAGATTAACACTTCTAGCTATCTTAATATATTAACCAACTTTGTTAGGTCAAATGGTAGTCTTTTCTAGTCAGATAAAGATAGGGAGGAGAACATCAATTCTGAAAAATAATTTTGTCTTTTTGACAAATCATTATTTTACAACATCATTTTTGGAAGCAAGATTCTGACATACTGAAGTTTTTATCACTTCTTCCTAAGGACTAATTTTACTAAAGTCAGTCAGGCGCTCCACCATCTCTCAGTGAATCATGAATTGTAGTTATACCCTTGGCTACATTTTATCATGTATTTCACTTAATATTCTAATAATTACTCTCCCGGCATTCTGACTGGATTTTACTGGGAAACTGGAGTGAAAAGTGTTGGGTAGAGGATCAGCTTCTAACCTTTTTGACGTTGTTAAGGACTAATGAGAAAACAAAGCTAACTTGGTTACAATTAGCAAAGTACATGTTTTTTTAGAAAGAAGCTTCCCAAGATAAGTCTCCAAAATTGAGTCTGACAGTTTCCACAGTGAAAAACACAGTTGGTTTGAAGGAGAAGTAGTCATTCATACACAAATACCAACTATGAGTATGTTTCTAATGTAACTAGAAGGAAATATGCTTGCTTCTTCACTTCTGAGGCAAGTTCACATTCTACCATAACTAATTATTTTTTCAACAATATCTATTATGTTCTTTTATGATCTGCCAGTACTTTTTTGAAGGCCAGCTAGAACAACAGCCAACAAAGTGGAGACTAAAATGAGGCCAAATGTCTCTTCAGTACCAAGATGTTACTTCAAAAGATATGCGATGCAAAGCTCTATGGTGACTCAAACAATCCTTCACTTGTAAGGGGAATTTGCTAACGTGAAATTGGTTTCTTATCTTGCCAGCCCCCAGTGAACCATTACTGTGCAAATTCGCTGATGGAGGACAAAAGAAGCGGCAAAATCAAAGCAAATATACCCAGAATGGGAGGCCTTGGCCCAGAGAAGGAGAGGTGAGTCCTGACTGAAATCTTTTCCTTACAGTTTTGGCAGCAGACACCTTTCAGAAATATGGCAAAGTAGACATTTAGGATCATGAGGAAATTAGGTCCCACAGAAAATGGAATGACTTCAAAGGGTCGAATAACAAGGCCTGGGTGAATGTGTCGAGGGCAAAATTACATGAGGAGGAATACAGGACTTATAAACTGACCTCAGATCCACACTACAGTAGGACTTCTATCTTGAACCAAACTTGAACCTGAAAGGAATTCATTAAGAATCCACTAAGAATTGATCTGTTATGATCTAATAATTATAAAATGTGGGTTTGATTACTAAAGCAAATGTTTTCAATGAAATCAATACTGGAAATTGAATGTTTGTGTTTTGAAACAGACAAACAAAAATTGAGGTTTATTTCATCTGGCCATGGTGTTCTACTTGCACATGTATTTGTGTTTATTCAGATGCCCATATATTCATTGAGGTATTGATGTATCACACACATGTAAGTGTATCAACTCAAAATATCACATTTTCTGTTGGTCAAGAAAGAGGGAGAAAAGTGTACAGAGTTCAGCCATTTACAATAAGGAAAAGGAAATGAAAAAGCAATTAACAGTTACTGTGCATTTATTCTCCTAATGCAAATTGGCAGAAATGAAAGCTTCTGAATCCTATGTCATTTGGGAAAGCACTCATTTTAGCTATGTAAAAGAAAGAGTGTCTGGGATCCTGTGAGCTGTTTTCATTCTTTGTGAAACGGAGTGGAGTTGTTTGAATGACTTGAGTAAATGCCATTTTGTGCCAAGGCTATTATTTCAATAGGAGCACTTTATGTAGTATTTCTATTCAAAGCACCTACTTTATCCATTTGTCATGTAAAGGGCATTGCACTTTCAACACTGAGAAAGCAGTTGTGAAAAATAAAGAAAGAAGGCTGGTATTCTTCTCAGTAAAAGCTTTAGCCATTTTTCATTTTCTGAGATTGTCTGTTTTGAGCATTTCCATGAAGGTCTCAAAACTCTTCTGAAAGTTTATAGTGTGGTCAAGTACTATACAATGTTTAACGTATTAGATTAAAACATGAAAAACAGAATTATCACTGAGCACTGGAAGCTAATAGAAAAAGGCAAGTTTCCATGTTCTTCACTTCAGAAAAGCAGTTTGTTTTGTGTTTTAAGGAGGTGAGGGATTGATCCACGTGCCTTTAGCATGGACTTCAGTGTATAGCTCGGTAACTTCCCTGCCCCTGAAAGACAGTGATTCCTGATGCCACTCACCACATCCACTACATACAAAACATTCAGAGTCCAGAGAGACAATCTGACTTTTATAATTTGGTTGGGTAAAATCCCTGCTAATGGTATCCCATGTACTCCAAGACTAATTAAATAACTTAGTGGCTGAAACTTCAGTTCCTGTCTCCTAAAGATCCTGTATATCACCTTCATACAATAGAAGGTAGTCACGCAAATATACTTCACCAGAGTTGACATTTCTTGGAAGTCAAATCAGTGAATATTAGAAATACCTCAGAGCTGACCCTCTGTTACTTTAAATAAAACTAGAGCCTTTGGCTCAGTGCATGACAAACACCAAACTCCATGACAAACATACCATGGAGTCAAGTTTATGACCCGGAGTACCTCATAATTTAGTTGTAAGTCTTAAAAGTATATTCCTAATCCTTGCTGTAAAATTTGATGTCTTTCCTACTGAACTTTAAAATTAAAGGGTGATAGCAAGTTTATCTACAACCAATAAAATATATTCCAAATATGAAGATATAGTACATTGAAAGGCAAAAAAAAAAAAAAAGAAAGAAAGAAAATTAAACTGTATGTCCTGAAATACACTGATCAAATATTTTGGTTTGGGAACAAATATGTTTATTTATCTTGTTTGTGGTCCCAGAAGTAGATACAGCAAGAATATTGAATCACTTTGCCTATTATTCTATAAATTTTGTTTCTACCCCTCTTACATTATCCTTAAAGTACGTTAGCATGGTTATTGAAGTGTTTCATAATACAGAAAACCCTATAAGCAATATTTAAATACCTTTTATAAACTTGTAAATTCTAATTACATATGTTATTGATTCTAAGACACATATTTTGGGTACTGTTGCTTTTCCATATTTTAACTCTTTTGAAATTGATTTTTCAATTATGATCAATGGCATCTAACAAGACAGTTCACATTTGCTCGTGTTAGTCACCTGGGGGCACTACCTACATTCTCTGCTTAAGGTCTGTGACCACACTGACTGCCCTGTGCTCAAGGGAGAGTATTCTTTCTTCCCTGCTCTAACGATGTACTTCCCCGTAAGTCCATTTCCGAAGTGATTCCTAACATTGTAAGGACATCCTCTTGGATACTTATTTTTTCCTTTTTTATTTTTTTGTAAATGACATGATGGTATACTTTTTAATCATTGTTATCTCACATACAGTTTAAAAAATTACATTATGTTGCTTCAGACTTTGAGATAATAGCCAAAAGATGTTTGCTTTTCCTGTGTTTTGAAAGTCAAGGAAAAATTGCTAATATGAAAAGAATTTCTGATAACTGATTAAAGAAAAAACTTCAGCAGACTGCAAGCGTTTTAGAAGTATTATTAACATGAAAGCTGAAAGGCCAATTAAAAATTTTAATTTATTATGTACAGTTGTCTTCTTTCGGTTGGAATTTTGATAGTGTTATTAACTCAGTTTGGTGAATTGCATTTCTTTATAAAAATCTAACACTGAATATTTTGCACGCATAAATTGCTTTAAATTAGCAAGATTTTGAAATAGAAATAAATTCTAGAACAATGTTTTGCAGAAGTAAAGAACATGGAGATAATTTAAAGATCTTAACTAATATTTCAAGGAACAACTATAACTCTGAATAGAAAGATCAAGAGATGAGCCCCTTTCCTCTGGTGTTGCACAGTTCGTATTGCTTTGTTTTCTAAAGCAGCTCTCTAAAATTCACCAGACTCCAGATCCATTTATAGTCTATAAAATATTTCATTAGTTCATTTAAACATAAAAATGAAGCCATTGTAATGTAAAAGGTACATTTTGATGAAAATTTACTATTTTTAGAGCAGAGTATTATTTTGAAAAAAAAGTGGCACTATTTTATGCTCTTGCGAAGTAATGACTGGTTCAGTAAAAGGAGACCAGATTTGCACATCTACTTAACATTCGGTGTATTGCTATATGCCACTTTGTTTTAAACATATGAAGAAAATCTAACTTTGCTTTGATGTGTCATTGAAAATGGGAGGACTTTCTATCTCTCTTCAGACCCTCAGCTGCCGATAGGCCACACTTTAAGAGCCACTGTGCCAGGAAGCCTGTACCAAGGACAGTGCTAGCATACTCAAGATTCATATTCTCAAAGAGCCATGAAGCCTGTTAAATATTAAAATATTAAAATCTGTCTGTATCATTTAGTAAAGAGCCACTGCCACCATTACAGCAATACCATTTTTACTTCTTCTTCTACCCCGGTGCCTCCTCCATAACCTACCATCATCTAGAGAAGTAGGATGTTGGCTGGGGCAGCAGGTGATCCCCAGAACTCTACTGTAGCATTTATGTTCTTATGGGAAGCACTTATGATCTAGAAGTGCTGTGATATTATTAATGTCACTGCTAGCTCTAACATTGCTTGCTTGATCATTCTGTGACTTTCATGATCCCTGTGACATTGCACTGCCCAGATATTTTATTGTATATGAGGCTATTTTCTCAGTGCTTCTTTCAGGTAAAATGCTACTCAAAGTGACTTTGACTGTGAAGCTCAGATGACTGGCCAGGAACCAGGAATGCTTCAAACTGTTTCAAAAATATATCAGGAACATGAAAAGAAACTCTTAATGCTTTCTCCTGTGTTCCCAAAGAAAACATTTGCAGTGTTACCGAAAAACCGCTAAATTGGACTTTACCCTAAATAATAAGAACGGCTGATCAAAAGGCTAATAGCTACAAGATTTCTCTTTCGTGACTACTAGCTCAGAATCTGATTTATTGAAACTTAGTGCCTCAGGAAAGATATTTGTAAACTAAAACACACATTTATTCTTTTATTCATTCCTTCAACTACTATCAACACCACAGTCACAAAATACACATAGACACGTATTAACTTGTAGTATGTGTGTTTTTACAACCTTAATTTGATTATATCAGAAAGATGATTAGATCAAGTCAAAAGATGGATGTTTCTATTATAAGAATCACTCAAATTTTGAAATTATATTTTTCTTTGTTGTGACTAGTGTATGAGTTCCTTAAAATTTTTAAATATTAAGTAAATGCTGTTTTAAATTATAGAATATGAGTCTGTCTCAACAAATTTTTATGTCGAACTTTTATTCTTAAATAGTTCAAATATCAAAAATAATCAGCCAGGAATATAGTTCAGTGGAACAGTGCCTGCCTGGCAAGGGCAGGGTCCTGAGTTCTGTTCTCAGTACCAAAAAAAAGAAAAAAAAGAAAAAAAAAGAAAAGTCAAAATTCCCTGATTCAAGACTCTTATATAGCTTTCATAAAATTTTCCTAAGTCTTGTATTAACTGAGCCAGGAAATATAATTGATAACAATCATTTTGGAAATTATACATTTCCAACAAATATTGTTTTGGCCATGGGTAGAGACAGGAGACATGACAATTGAACAAGAAGCGAGTCCTCAGATATTTGGTGAAAAATGCCACATTTTATTATAAAACAAAGTCTAATAAAATGACATTTCTTGTCTTTATTTACAATTCTCTGCCAGAGTCAATTTAAAAGCAATAAACAATAACAAACATGCTCTCTCTATTTGAGGCTCTAAAGATCATTTCCCTTACTAAGGAAACATTTAACAAGATTATCTTCACAGTTTTCATATGAAAATGAGCCAATGAAATTAATGTAATATTGTTAACAACCAGTAATCAGATTTCTAGGAATAGTACACAGGTTTATATCAAAGAAAAAAGTCAAACAAGGTTTTGGGGATGCAGA